GAACTTTTCATAAAGTGGCCATTAGCCCAACGGCCACTTCATGAAAAGTGGCCCAAAATTCAATTTTTATAAAGGAAAAAAATTTATCTCCTACAATTTTTATCTATAAATACTTCTTATCAGTGTTTTAAAAGGCGGGGGCGTGAGGCGAGACATTTTATGCAGTATCGGGCGAGACGTAAGCCCCGAGATACTGAGCGTAAGTCTTATGGATCTAGGGAGCGTAGTCTCATGTATATTCAATGTTATAATTTTATTACTAAGAAAATAAGCAAGAGTAAAACTTTCAATTATTTTACAAATAAATTTTAATAAATAACCTATAATATATAGAAAAAAATATTATGATTTTATTTGAGAAAAGTATTAATAACCAATAATGAAGAAAAAAAGTATTACAATTACTATTTGAGAAATATCATTACTCCAATAATAAAAAATATGATTTATAGAAAAAGAGGTTCAAACACCAAAAAAAAAAATGTCCAGGGCATGTTTTTCCACCTAGGGCTTACGTTTTCACGCTTGGAGCTTATGCCTCCAAATTCTAGGTATTACGTCCTATGGATCTACGTCTTTAGTTTGCGCCCCGGAGCATTTTCGATACCCCCCATACTCACTCGGGATTCACCCCAAAAAACAATTTTGAAAACACTTTTTCTTACATTTCATTATTTTTCCTACAACAAATTTCTAATTCTCTCTCAATTTCTTAGTTCTCTCTTAAAGTGACAGCAATCTTATATTATATTTTGCAATTAATAATATCAAGTTGAAGTTTTTTAGTTTCAAGTGTTCAATATTACATCAAATTTACGCTTCTTTCTTTATTTCCTATAATTTGGTAAATTCGTTCCCTTTCTTGCTTTTATTTACGTGTATTAATTCTTGAATATTTAATTATATTATTTTTGTATTTATATTTTTATCATTTTAATTTGCATAATGGATACGTTTAAAAAAGTAGGTAGAAATGTTAAAAATTTGTGTTCCGGAGATAGTAGGAGTCCGGAGCAAAAAGGGAAAAAAATTTCTATCAAAAAACATAAACGGCACATCAAAAAAAAATTTAACCAAAAGGGCAAAATCGCTCGTGACAGAGCAATTTCCTTCTGATAAATATTGACACCGTTGCTCCGTTAAAAACTTTTTTCCGTAAAATCGTTGTTGTGACAGCGATTTTGTCCAAAAAAAATTTTGTTTTGCAAACATCGCTGCCCCGCAGCGTTTTTCTCGAAATTTTTTTTTAAAATAAAATAAAAAATCTGCTATGGCAGCTTTTTTATCAAGAAAGTTTTAATAGGTCAGAGTAGCAAAATGATGGAACTACCCTGATTTATTTACGCAAGTATCCTTCGTTGGCTGACCTACGTGATGGTTTTTTATTGTTTTCGTCGGACTGAGGTACCACCACTTATTTAGAATGATGAAATAGATATTGTTTCAATGTTTCTAGTTTATCTTCCTATTTATGAAAAGTTTCAAAATAATCATATAATAAGCCACAAAATTGCAATAGAAAAAGAAATGGTTGAGATTTATAATTTAGAATCCTTATACATAAAGATAAATTGATTCAATCGTTATGATTAAGTTCTATTATAAATGTTTTATCACATTTTCTATGTAGACACGTAATTTTTGATCGAACTTGATATTTTACACAAATTTTAGTGGTTAAATATTTCTTTTACGTTTAAATTTAATATTTTGGTTTTATCATATTTTAGTAAGTTTAGTGTTAAAAATATTTGAAAACCACAAAAATAGAGCCATGTTTTAAGTTAAGTTTTGTTTTCAATTTATTCAAAATAAGAAGAAAATGTTCAAAAAATATATGTTTTCTTTTAATGTATATTTAATAAATAAATTAATGTTTCTTAATTAATTATTTAACTTTTCTTAAAATTTAAAATAATTTGTTAGTAATTATATTTATATATAATACCTACACTTACACCACTACCCCACCTTAAACCCCACTTCCCTCCCCCATTTTCTACACATAAATGCATAATCCCACTAAAACACTCCACACACACACACGTACATCACCACTATATACCTACACACTACTACTACTCCTGGAAAATAAAAAACACAGACAGATACCAAGAAAAGAAAAAGGATCGAAAAAAAAAAGCAACACGACATACTCACCAACATACACAAAAACAAAAAACGGACAGAAATCAAAAGAGAAAAAGGGACGACACTCAAGAAAACAAAAAGAAAAACTTTTCATTTTATCTCACGATCCTCTTAAAATTCACCAACACATTCACATTCCTCTTCCTTTCTCATTATTATTTTCATATAAACACCATACATATACCACCACACACACCTACAAAAAATTTGTGGGTATTCTAATCGAGCTTCAGTTAAAATTTTGCGGTATTCAACTCTACCTTATCTTTCTATTTATTTATTAATGGAATTTGATGTAATTTTATGACAAGTTCTTTTTATATTTTGTTTTATTCATGAATTTGATTGGAATGATTAATTTGTTAGTTGTTATATCTCTATTTCATGAATAAGGTAGCTTTAATCGATTTTATTTATGTATTTATTTATTTATTTTTATTTGTTAGTTGTGATCTCTTAAAAATGAATGGTCGTAACATTGTTTTTGTCTTCATTTAGATAATAATGATAAAGTAGGTATAGTTAGGCTAAAAAATAAATAAATAAATAAAAAAATAACAAAATAATACCAAAATTTTATATTGTATCCTAGGCATTTACATTCATTTACTTATTTAGTTTTATGTATAAAGGAAAAAATATTGGCTTTTTTTTAATGACTAGATGAGTTTTAGAAATATTAAAAAAATACTTGTTTTGATAAGAATGCGGTTGCGCATCTTTTTTGAGACATAAAAAAAACAAGGATGCAGTGATGCACCTTGTCCAATAATATAATTAAATTTTATTAATCTAAAGTAGAGACTTATATAAAAAAAAATAGATTATTAGGTGTGATGCAAAGAAGATAATTATGTCTCAAAATGTCAAGATCGAGAATGCAGTTATGCATCCGATTTAAAACTAATAAAAATTCAACTATTAAAAAATAAGCAAACCATGGCGTATAAACACAAATTATCCAAAAACGTATCAAGATAAGTATAAGTCAATAAAAGCGACCGTGCTAGAACCACGGGACTCGAGGGGTGCCTAATTCCTTCCCCTCGGTCAATTAGAATTCCTTACCCGAATTTCTGGTTCGCAGACTAATATAAAGAGTCATTTCCTTTTGATTAGGGATTAAATAAAAAGGTGACTTGGAACACCATAACTCAATTCCAAGTGGCGACTCTGAAATTATAAAATAATCCCTTAATCAATAACGTCACTTTAATTGGAAAAACCCTTACAGCCGTGCGCGAAAAGGGGTGTGACATTCTACATGATCCTCTTATCTCTTTCTTCTCCGAGCTCTGGTCATAATAAAAGGAAACAAGAAGAAAGTTTTAACAATAACTTATTTTATTACGAGAGGTAGCTCATAATATTCATATCAATTTATTATATGTATCTGTTCAACTCAAGAAACTAGTTAAAGAAATAAAATGCATTCTGATTTAGTTAAATAAATGTTTGAAATGATGCTTAAATTTTAGCTCATAAATCAATACCATGATAAATATACGTTTGGGCAATTTTACTAATGATCACTCAACTTTTATTTATTACACAAATTCACTAAAATATTTTTTATAATAAAATAACAATTCAATTTTGTCGATGTAATAAATATCATAGAGAATCACAAAACTATCTTCGTAAGAAGAAAAGTTAGTCAATTTTACTTAAATATCATGAAACATATATAACTAAATAAACTTTTCTATCAGAAAGTCCTTCACTATATCTGAGTATAACACATAGAAAATAGGAATTACAATAGTGTGTTTTAGTTCATAGGTTTTTCAAAATTGATTGAACCGGTTTCATTTTGCCCTAAACTAGATGTGTCCAATCGAAATGATTATAGTTATTAATACTTACTTGCTCTATCATGACTGGCAACACTTTTTTGCATTTCAAGATTATAAAAAAAGAAATTGGGGATTTTTAAAATTTTAATGTGTATTAATTCATGAATTTTTCAGAATCTTTTGACAGACTTAGATATGTTCCAAATTTGGTATGTCCATTCGAAACAATTTTGATAATCAATACTCATTCTTCTGACATGGCTCACGACATTCTTTTGACATTTTAGGCTTATAAAATAAATCCATTTTTTTAAAGTTTTTGATGTATGTTAGTTCATAGATTTTTTAAATTTCTTTGGATAGACTTCCATATCTATCCGAAATTTGGTGTATCCATCTGAAACAATCTTGGTAATCAATATTCATTGTTCTGTCATGACTGACATCATTTTTGGCGCTTTCGAGCCACAAAACAGAAATTTAAGGTTTTCTAAATTTTTGATGTGTGTTAGTCTATATATTTTATATTTTTTTAATTGCCTCAAACATGGTATGTAAAATTTAATCTATGTTAAAACATTCTTTAACAAAAACTTGACTAAATTTAAATTTGCATGTAACTTTGTTAAACCGCTCCCCCGACAAAAACTCCGAAATTAAAACCAGGTGCCTTTGAGGGATATTTTATTTTTATGCGGAAAACAGCTTAATTTCGACACTCATGCAAAATGTATTTTTTGGACTGTCCCTCAAATGAAAAATAAACTTAGCTTAATAATGAACTTATTTATACATTATGTATACATTCATTGTATCATTCACTATAACCCAAACTTCTGTGTAAAATTCACTAAAAAAAATACACTTGTATTAAAAAAAAATTTTACTTATATATATATGTTCAATTTTATCAACATAATGTCTTCATCTTTACTCTAAACAAAAATAAAAACTCCATTTATGGTTTTTCTCTGTGAACATCTTTTCTTCATGATTGCGACATAACTAAATCATAAATATTTGATTCTTCTATAAAATTCGAAGAAAAAGAAATTGAGATTGGAAAAAATGGCGACATTTGTACCGGTGAAGTTTAAGAGAGTAGCTGAGGCATTTGATGAGGTGGCAAAAGCTCGGATCTGCGAGAGCAGCGGCAGTGAACACTCTCCACCACCGGCGGTGGTGACAGAGAGCTTGACGGATTTATCACGACTCGTGAATTCGTTTTTAGAAGGGGAGGTAATTACTGTTAATGAGAAATTGGAAGAGATTGATGGAAATGTTGATACTAATTGCTTTGATGAATCGGAGATTAAGGAGAATTTAAGGAATTTGTTGAATTCCGGTGATGATTTGAAGAAAAGTGTTATTAATGCTGTGGAAAATGCTTTGCTTGCTGAAGAAACAAATGATCGGAGCTCACCGGAGTTTAAACGATGGTTGATGACTCAATTGCGTAACCATGGCTTCGATGCTGGTAAGCATCTTTTTCACAAATTCTATAGCTAAACAAATTACTTGTTAGTTGTTGCACTATTGATGTATTTAAGTTTTAAAATCTTTATTTAACTTTTTTTCGCCTTTATAGGATTGTGCAAATTAAAATGGGAGAAAGCTGGTAATCGTACCTCAGGAAGTTACGAGTATATCGACATTAATGTTGGTGTTACTCGTTACATAATCGAGGTTTCATTAGCGGGAGAATTTGAAATTGCTCGAGCAACGCTTTGCTACGCCTCGTTGCTCGAAAATTTCCCTCGAGTTTTTGTTGGAAAAGTGGAAGAGTTGAAGCAAGTGGTGAGAATTATGAGTAGAGCCATGAAGAAATCTATGAAGAAAATGGATATTTATGTGGCACCATGGAGAAGACTAGCTTATATGGAAGCTAAGTGGTTTGGATCTTATAAGAGAACAACAAATGAACAAAAAAATTATCAAAAGAATAGTTTTGATTCTTCTTCAAAGAAAAGAAATGTTGGATTTGTGCCTAAGCAAGCAATTTCTTTCTATTGTAGAGAGAATATTATTGCTTCTAATAGTGGCATTAAAATTGGAAATTTGGCAGCAGCTTTGAATGGATAATATCATGAACTGATATAAACCGTGGTGGAGTTAATCAAGGGTCTTGAGTTCAAATCCTGAATATGAATTCACGTTTGTAAGAAAACAATAGATTTAGTCATATTTCAATGCGGATGACCCGAACGAATATAAGTTTGTTTAATTTGTTAAGAATTAGAAAGCCATTCTTGTGGAGGCAATATATATTAGCTTTAGTTTTGGTGGGTTTGGGAAGTAAA